TAAACCAGATCTTTCCTGGCTGGATTGCTCTAAGGTCCACCTGCGTTCTGCATCCTGCTAACTCCGGGACGGATCGGTCATCCAGTCACCTTGCAGGTCCTTGATCAGAGGGAACCACACCAGAATGGCCTTGCTAAACGCACTCTTTATTGCTAAATAAGGGTTTTACCCTGAGTCACGTATTCTTCAAGGAACAATAGCATTTTATGTGGCAAACTGGGGACATCACAGAGGAAAGATGAAGTCTTTCATTATAGAGCCCTGCCCTGCCCCCCCCCCCACAGACGGGCCTTTCTTTGTTTGGCCTACGCAAGCCATTGAGGCGGACTGGCAGGAACTCTTTCTGCAGCAGACTCGTGGGCACAAACATGTCCGACTCCTTTGAGACACTGAAATCCAAAGGATTTGTTTCGGTCTGAGTTGAACTTTTATCATTATTTTCCAGAATGTGATCTGAACACTGCAAGAACGATCTAGAAATAAATAAAAATTTACCCTTAATTTGAGTAGGTAAATATGAGGATTTGCCAATGAAATTAGTATCTTTACTCTTAAAATAAGATAATTAGATAATATGAACTTGAAATAAGATAATGCGATTGTTTTTTCTTATTTTAAATGTAAATTGTCTTGTTCCATTGGCAAAGTCTCTCACTTTCGTCCTCAATTGGAGAAAAAATGCACTTACTTTAAGAAAAAAATACTTACTTAGATTTCCTTTTTTTGCAGTGAACTGCTACTTGGAGCAGAGGCTTTGCAAATAAGGACTAAATGTGGATTTAATAAATACTCTTGATGCTCTTCACAAAGAGGGAAGCTGGTTAGAGATGAACGAAACACAGATGAGCTAAATCCAGGTCAATCCTGGAAAAAAAAAACTTTCATAGGCTGAGGACGACCTGGACGGGGAGTAGATTCACCTTCCAGCAGAACCACCATTAACACCCTGCCACAGATAGAAAAGATGGACTAGATGTGTCTCTAATCAAGCTCAGATAAATCAAACATTTGCATTCTCTCCTAATTAGCAACAAAGAACTCCAGAGCTCTTCTCTCCCACTGAATATGTGTCAGGTTTAAAGAGACAAAAAATAAACTTTAAACTTGAAAGACAGTGGGGTCTGAGAACCCTGGTTCGGTATGGCCTAGTTAAAGTAAAGTAAAGTAAATGATAAAAGTATCATTAAATTAAATCAAAGATTTTCTCCAACTAATTAAAAGTTTTTTCTTAAAGGAATAAGGAGAGAACTTAAGGTAGAAGAACAAATGAGGCGAGGAAATTCCCTGCAGACCTGCAGGTAGAGGTGGTTCTAAAAAGCAATCACTTCAAGGGATTGAATGCTAATGCTCCAAACTTTCTTAAATATGATTGATTTTATTAAAGTATTTAATTTCACAGCTCTAGTCTGTTTTTGGGTTTTTTTTAGCAGATCTTTATAAAATCAGTTGATGTTTGTGAAACGCTGAAACTACAAGGCGTGTGAATAAACTACATCAATTAAAACGTCAATCTTCTCTATGGCAACAAACCGAGAGGCACTCGGCACGGTTCTCTGACGGCTTAAAGGAGAATATTTCAGCTGTCAATCCCAAATATGATGAGACAGAGCTCTCCACTGAGGTGCATTAAACACCAGCTCACGTACCGAGCAGCCCAGTTCTGTTCTTCGATCCGCGCTCTGCCCCCCAACAGGATATGAAAGATCAGGAGATGGCAGGCGCCCAACCGCAGACTGATGTGATGCTAATCGGCTTTGCTGCCACACATCAGCCACCGGTCATTCCAGATGTCAGAGGAGACTTATTTATTTAAATATTTAGAATGACCAACAGAGATGAGAGACTCGCTGCTGATGGAGCCTCTTGGTTTGTGAATGAAACGTAGAAATGTCTGGAAAGAACTGCCACCACCTTTATAGTCTGCTTACAACAGGAACGTTTATTTTTGCTTCCTTCGTTTCATGAGAGATCCTGAGAGGTTTTAATGTTTGGTCCTCAGGGGAAGAAAAAAAAAAACAGATGTTTGCATCTCAGCTGAAAATCATTGAAGTCAAGATATTGTCCAAAACAGGGGGTGGTTATAAAAAATGTATGTTAGCCTGATAACAAATACGATTTAGTAAATAAACCACACATGGATTTAGGGACATTTTAAAATGGCTTTTAAGCTAGGTTAGCATAAAAAAATTAATTAATTAAACTAATTAATTAGTTTTGGTAGAAAGTATTTTACGGAGGAGAATTAGGGCCACTGAAAAAAAAAAAAGTTAACCGATTTTTAAATTTTATTTCAGTTTAACATGAGAAAAAATTTTATTCTGACTTTTTAATGTTAGAATTCAGTCAGAAGTCTGAGATTAAAGTCATAATTCTGACTTTTTTCTCAGAATTCTGACTTTAATCTCAGAATTCTGACTTTTTTCTCAGAATTCTGACTTTAATCTCAGAATTCTGACTTTAATCTCAGAATTCTGACTTTTTTCTCAGAATTCTGACTTTTTTCTCAGAATTCTGACTTTAATCTCCGAATTCTGACTGAATTCTAACAATAAAAAAGTCAGAATTCTGAGATTAAAGTCAGAATTCTGAGATTAAAGTCAGAATTCTGACTTTTTTCCGATGTTAAACTGAAATAAGATTTAAAAATCAGTTAACTTTTTTTTTTCAGTGGCCCTAATCCTCTTCCGTAGTCTTTAGTCTGGGAGGCAAACAGAAAGCTGGAGGAAGTCAGTAATTGCTTGTTAGCAATTGTTCTCGTTAGCCTTACAAACCTGCTGAGGCTTCATAATGACCTTGATCCTCATTAGAGATTTTAACAGGTTGCTAAAGATGCTTGTTTTATAACATGTTAGAGCTCTAAAGCTAATGCCCTACAGGTTAATGACTATAGATATAGGACGGCTAGAGACTTAAGGGGTAGAATGGGTAGTGACTAGTGAGGTAGGATATGTCAGGGATCGATGTTAACCATTGCCCGATCTCCCGGGGCAAGTAGTTTTTATTGTCGGGAGAGTACAAATTTCAATGCGTTTTATTTAGATTTTTAACATTACAATTTACATTTAAAATAATAAAAAAACAGTTGCATTGTCTTATTTCAAGTGCATATTATCTAATTATCTTATACCAAGAGTTAAAATTCTCATTCCATTGGCAAACTATCTCATTTACCTACTCAAATTAAAGGTAAATACTAGGGATGCACGATATAATCGGCCCCCTATCGATATCGGCTTTAAAACTGAATATCGGACATCGGCCCCCCCACCGATATTTAACCCGATATTTGATCAGCTTCTGAGTTTCTAAAGTCTAAAAAAAAAAATAATAATAAATACTACTTCTTCTTCTTCCTCAAAAACGTCTTTTTTACAGACTTAAAAACTTCTAAAGACGAGGGAAAAAATATTGATCCATTAAAATATCCCAATATCTTCATATGCTGATATATTGCCATTTAAAAACACCATATCAATCTCTTTTACTAATGAAATATTGCTATATGTCATCGTTATGCTACGAAATCCCCCGAAAATTCACCAAATGTTGCCATATTTTTATATGTTGATATATTGACGCGGTATCGATCTATTTTACTAACACAAGAATTTGCAAAATATCACGAGAGTTTCTAACAGAACGATGAAATTTCACCAGATTTTGAAAGTAAAATAGATCGATACCGCGTTTTTAAAAATCTATTTGATATCAGCATATGAAAATATATTTGAGTTTATTATTTTTCAAAGTGTCAGAAATGGATAACAAAACTGCTATTTTCAATGACTACTTATTTTTGTCCAGCTTTAACATCGGTATCGATATCGGTTATCGGCTACATGAGTTTTAAAATATCGGATATCGGCCAAAATCCCAATATCGTGCATCCCTAATAAATACACTTATTTTAAGAAATTTTTGCTTATTTTCAGAACTACCTCAGCCTGGAATAAACCATTGCTGCTGCTTTTATTGCTTTTATTCTAATGTCTATACTCTATATCTATCTTATCTTCTTTTACATGTTCAATGTTAAATATTGAATGTTAAATGTCATTATGTTCTTTGTATTATATTTATTATTGACCACTTGTTGTTACCAGTCCACCGCACTTTATGTCAGTCTGTAAATGTCTTGTCCTGGCATGGTATAGAGAGAAAACGTAATTTCATTTCCCTGGTGCATATGAAGAAAGTGACAATAAAGCTGACTTGACTAGTTAGGTCGATGAATAGTGGTTTAGTGACTAATAAAGTAGAATGATCAGTGACTAGTCAGGGAAGATGGGTTTTAGTTGTTTGTATTTTAATAATTGCTAGAAGCGTTTATTTCCTGCTTTCCTGCCGTGTGACACAAAGTTTGGGGATCTTTGTTTTATAGAAATTTAAGCCATTTGTGTTCTAGAGCAGATCTACAGATCTGTAAGAACCTAAATGTTCTGGTTATAAATGTATAATTTAAAAACATCAGGGCCTCTTTATTTTAACCAGAGTCTGGCGTTGATAGAATCTTCCGGCTGAATAATGAACGTCCCCAGATGATGGACACTTGATGATGAATCATTGTTTCATTTCTCGTCTCCAGCAGGAATATCCGCTCTGGTTGTTGGGCTTCTTGTTGTCATGCCAACCATCCGGATCCCACTACAAACAATGGAAGTGTGTGGTTGCTAAGCGACGGCAGCATCTTTACAAGAAACTGTGGATATCGTTGCTGCAGGGGTGAAGGTAGCAGTGAGGAAAATATAAATACATAATCGAGTGTCAGAGATCAGCGGATGGACCGACGCACCGGAGGAAAGCCGATATTCATTAACCTTCCTTTAAAAGGCTTTTCAGCTCTTAATTTGCACATAAGGATATTTTTACCTTTGTCCGACTTTTGGTCGTTGGTTAAAAAATGAATCCTTTGTAATCAAGAGAGGCTTCATATATCTGATTTTAAAAAAAGTTGCTGCAACAATGCAAGAGAAGCAGAGATCTTAGTTCCTTTTGGAATAAAATAAGTGATTTTATAATAAATGCAATTTGTAGTTCATCTTTTTTTTTACTGTAGCTCAGGTTTACAGGATGAATCTGCACTTATCTTCTGACAAACCTAGTTTAAAGTTTTAGCAGACCAGCTCTCTGGACCGACATGTTAAAGTCAGCAGATTCCCGATCGTCCACATGTAGAGGGAAAACAGTGGAAACTCGTCCGACAACAGGAAGAGACGATTCTCCAAGAAACGTAGGAAGACCTTCTTCTCTGGCTCCACCTCCGCCTTCCACCAAGCTACCTCTGAATCCTCCAAGAGTTTCTGCAGAGTCCAAAACAGGTGGAAGGAGTTCTGGTACTGATCCACTGGAAACTGTCTGAGCATGGAGGCGTCCGTGTTTCCGTCTTTCTGCACCTGCACAAAAAGAAAATGCAAATGGTGATGAGAAAAATGAGAAATCTCCTTTCCAGGATTGATGCTGAGAAACTAGTCCATCCATTTGTTACTTCAAGGCTGGACTATTGTAATTCTTTACTATCAGCTGATCCAAAATGCTGCAGCCAGAGTTCTGATGAAAATGAAAAAGAGAGATCATATCTCTCCTATCCTGGCTTCTCTTCATTGGCTTCCTGTTAAATCCAGAATAGAATTTAAAATCCTCCTTCTCACATATAAAGCCTTAAATGGCCAAGCTCCATCTGATATCAGAGATCTGATTGTTCCTTATGTTCCTAACAGAGCACTTCGCTCTCAATCTGCAGGTTTACTAGTGGTTCCTAGAATTTCTAACAGTAGAATGGGAGGCAGATCTTTTAGTTCTCAGGCTCCTCTCCTGTGGAACCAACTACCAGTTTTAGTCCGTGAGGCAGACACCCTGTCTACTTTTAAGGCTAGGCTTAAAACTTTCCTTTTTGATAAAGCTTCTAGTTAGAGTGGCTCAGGTTATCCTGAGCTATCTCTATAGTTCTGCTGCTATAGGCTTAGACTGCTGGAGGACATAGGGACCCCTTTTTCATCATTCTGCTTCATTCTATCTCTATTCTCCCACTCTGCAGAATCTGTTAGTTCAATCTCTAACGTTCTGCTCTCTCTGCTTTTTCTCATAGTAGCTTCATCTGGTCTGTTCCTGTTTGGCTGTGACTCCGTCCTGGAGAGAAATATCAGCTGTGCTGCTGCCATCAACACCTTTGTTTCTAGATGTTGGAGCTTGGCCTGTTTTCCAGTGTAGTCCTGTTTCTCTGACTGTGACTAACTGGATGTGCTCTCTTCATCCTCTGACATGGGAGCTGGCTCGGAGCTCGTCTGCCTGGCTGTGTGTTTCCTGGACGGGGCCGCCTGTGGAGCTGGTTGACAGTTGCCTTTTGTATCTATGCTTCTTTTTCTATGTCTGCTTCTGTCTCCTTGAACCCCAGTGGGCCTCAGCAGATGGCCGCTCACACTGAGCCTGGTTCTGCTGGAGGTTTCTTCCTGTTCAAAGGGAGCTTTTCCTCTCCACTGTCGTTACAAGCATGCTTAGTGTGAGGGATTGCTGAAGAGTCAATGAGTCGATGCAATCAGCTGGTTTTCCTTAGATAGAAAACTTTTAATCAATCTGACTGGATGATCTAGATCTATAAAGTGACCTGAGATGACATGATGTGAATTGGAGCCATAGAAATAAACTGAATAGAACTGAAATAAATATCAATAACTTTAACCTACAATAAAGACCCATAAGCTGTCCATCTAATTATGATAATTGCTGAATAGAACAAAACAGATGCCTTTAAACCGTGATGATTAATCTCTATGTCACTAAGCACTGAAATATTAACAGCTCTACACAAAATAACACCTAAAACTGGATGATAAACATCTGGAGTTAAACCTTTAACTTGTTAAAGCGACGACATTAATAACTGTTATGTTGATACAATGCAGCAGGACAGTTAAAGCAGATAACAGATCACACACATCAACACTGAAAGCCGGTATGCAAATCTTTCCAGCATCAAAGCTCATCCAAACCCGTTCACTCAACCATTTAGCATGATTATAATATCAGAGACATGCATCAGTAATGGAAACCACTTTCAATACATGATGAACATGAAGGTAAAATGATGCTTTTATTGAGGAGATGCTTGAATGGATAATAATTGATTTTTTCATGGGAAAAATCAAACTTGTAGAACTTACAGTGAGCTAATTAAATGGGCGCAGAGGATGTTAGCATGTAAACAATGAAGTGAGGATTCCTGGATTGGTCTGAGGACCTGGATTTCTCAAATGCATCGAGCCAAACTACTCTCCTTTAGGCTTCATTAACTTATATTTAATTTCCGGTCGGTGGCTGCAGCTAATTATAGCTGATAAATGGATGCTACGGTTGGTTGTAAGCAAAGGAGAGAGACGGCAGTAAGCAAAAAGTTTTTAAGATGTAAACAGTTAGTAAACAGTTTACCTTTTTGTTTTTACACTAAAGACAGGAAGTCATTTTATTTCAATAAAACTGTAAATAAACATAACTAGTTTTTATTAAAACAAACTGGGATGTCTTTTGCTTCACTGACTTTGTGTTGATTTCTTCCAGTGAAATCCATGACTGCCGGTTGGTGGAGACTCGTGGACACAACACTCACAAAGCGAAACTTCTGTTATTTAAATTCTGTTGAATAACAGAAGTTTATCTAAAGTCGTAGGGAAGACATATTTAATGTCAAATCATTCTGGCTTAAATGTGTATATAAATGTTCTCTTTATCAGAGGATATTGTCCCAAAATTTCTGTCTGCCAATCAAATGTTTTCGGTCATAGCATCTTGATTCATATGTCCCAGCTAATATACGCAACGGTTGAAATCAGAATCCTTTCCTTTCCCATTGAGTTGCGTCCCAGTGTTCACGGGGATGGACGTCTGTGTCTTCGGCAGGCGTAGAGCTAACAGAACTGGCAGCGTTGCGAGGCAAGGGCTCAAACATGTACGGCTGGAAGCCTTCTACACCAAACCAAGCTTCTGCCGCCCTGGCGTCCTCTTCCACAACATCTTCGTCCCCGCTTTCCTCCTCTAAATAAAAAATGGATGACGGAGGAGACTCATCCACGACCTCCGACACTAAACTCTCCTCCTCTTGCATGTTTCCTCTGTCCATAGCGTTCCTTGACAGCGTCGTTTCTAAGTCACCAATTTAGTGCTACTTGGTCGCAATGGAATTTCCCATTGGGAACCTGCTAGCACTAAGTTGCTAACTGGTTAGCAAGATGCTTCCTAAAAACCGGCCACAACTAAATATGCTTGTGAACCTTCCGCCACAACAATCCCGCCCCCTTGATAATCGACCAATCACATTCACTTTATTCACTCGTGTAAAGTCGGGAACCACTTGGGAGAATTCGGAAATGCAACGGTTGGAACAGCCGCTTCCCTACCACTTTAACTGTCAAACCCCCACATGCTTTTTTTTTTTTTTTTTTTTTTAGCATGTCCTCCCTGTCCATGAAGTTGTAGGAACCAGTAGCATTATAAAATATTGAAATTTTTTGTATTTTTCTAGACCAAAACGTAAATACTAATGATGTTATGAGATGAGCCAAAGCTTCGATGGAGGCTTGCTTCATTTGGGGGAGGAGCCAAAATAGATGACGTCCGAAGCCTCTCTACCCCACCGTACCATGTGACCGCTTCGGGAAGTGGTTCAGCTCGCCCCCGAACTTCGGCAGGCATTTAAACAGCCTCAGTATTCAGTCAAGATGTGGGACTTTGGAGGAGAGTTGGATAGATTCTAAGAATAGATTGGTTGGGAAAAACAACCAATCTAGTTGGTTAAATCTAGTTTGGTTAGAGTAAACAACGTAATGATGAAACTCTGAGCAAGCCACTGGTGACTGATGTGTCACCTTAATAGTGGCATCAGCTGTAAGACATGGACTTCTACTCCTGAGGTTGTTGGTTCAAATCCCAATTCTGACTATTGAAAGTTGCGATAATACACACAAAGTATTTTTGGTTAAGCGGGGCGAACATTGTACGACTGTTTGCCTTTTTCTGGCCGATTCTCCAGTCGTCCGAGAATTGTTCAATCGGGCCGACTTTCAGCCTGATCGTGCGTTTTGTAGTGTACAGGGGGTAACGAGGGGGCGATCAGCCACTCCATTAACCTCCCCATCAGGAATCGTAAGGTCGGGAGAAAATCAAACATGTTTGAAATTCAGTCGGCCGTCGTAAGGAGGTAGTGGGCGAATCGCGCAGTGGGCAAACAAGGATTCTTCTTCCTCTCAGGTGAAAACACAGAAACATGGCGGAGGTGCAAATGGAGTTCTTTCTGTAAAATTTAAAGACCATTGTAGCCACGTTTGCTCAGCCATGTCTTTGTGCATCAGTTATCGCCTTTTCTCTTCTGGATAAACGAGTCCGAGTAGCGCCATCTCAATGCGGAGCTGAGTCTGACATACAGTCTGAGCAGGTAGATCGCATCAGAGCGCCAGGCCTCATAGTTCGGTCAGCAAGGAATAATCAGTGGATCATTAGCTATACCTAAAGCTAATATGTTCGTGGTGATTTAATAGATTTAGCTTTAATCGGTAAAAAAATAATAATTTCCATCACGATCTCTGAGTCTGGGAGCGGCCATTTTTGCCCAAATATAGTAGCCCCTCCCTCCTGCCATCTTCCAGCAGTGACGTCACGGTGCGGTAAGCCTAGCGCCATTCTCCCCGCTTTACAAGCTAAATCAATGGGAACTACTAGACACATCTGCAATCAACAACAATTATTGAAGATTTCCAGAGGACTTCACCATTGAAATTCACCAGAGCTATAGTGAAACTGACAATGCCCACGTGCATGGCAGCTGGATGCTGGAATACATCGGGTAAAAGTGGAAAAAAAAGAGTTATTCCACCTTTCTGATTCCTGATCCTCCACGGACGGGTTGGTCGTTGGATCGCCAACTTGAAGAGGGAGGATTTGCCATCGAACTTCTGGCCAGAGAAAAAACCCGTAATATGTAGCCAACATTTGGAAGAAGAATGTTTTCAAGATGACTTGGATAATAGCGCGTTGTGACAAACACCAGATACAGCACTGGGACTTGATCAACAGCCGATACCGCACGTCACTAACCAGTAGGTGGCAGTAGTGTTCTTTGACAAACATGGATGCCTCCAGTAAAGCTCATTCACATGAAAATTACTCTGAATTAAAAGCACCTTTTTATTGAATAATATGTAATAATTGCATAATTAAGGACCTTTCAGAAGTTTGTATTCTGAATATGAGCGACTTTTCCTTTAAACAAATACAGAAGAAGGGCTTAAAAACACATCCAGTATGAGGAATAATCAGTCAAAGCTGCAATGTCAGAACAAGAAGTGGTCAAATTTATGGGACTTGATCTTTTATGATATTTAGAGGCCCATCTGGATCAGAGGAGGGA